ATGAATGACTTGCAGATCCTGAGCACCACTGACAAACATCTAATCTTGTCAAATGTGTGGTAAGTACTGCCGCTCCATAGTATAAACGGACTACGTGCGATCGTGAATCTCGAAAGTGAAAGTGAAACTAAAAAGCGATCGTGCTTTCAAAAGCAGTTTCAATGCCAGGCATAATAGCGGCTCCCTGATGCCCGAAATATATATGTAGTATAATGACCCAATGATATAACTGCGAGTGAAAATATTGAAATACATATTTTCCTCCCATCTCGTATTTATTCCCTTTAGGGGTTCCGTATACATGTCATTTTCTTTCCGAAGACGGTATTGGGATGCGGCAGATTTCTGGGGGTATCACGATGCCGGCTCAACATTGTGATGTCTATCAGCCATCGGCGATGGACGATGGCATCGTCTATCGGCCCAACCCTAGTTTTAACTAAGTTATTACATAAAGTGCTGCAAAAATTTCCAGAAACTAGATGTTGTGTACATGCACAATACAGGATGCGTTACGTAAAAGTTGAAGACAGTACACACTGGCAGCATCCAGCAACTAGTCTTTGAGAGAGCCTGAGGTCTTCTCATGTTGGCCTGTGTTTGTGTGTGTATATTTGTAAAAAGGGGAGGATGACAAGTGCAAACACACCTTGGCATCCCTGCGTAGGGGCTTGTCGTCACCTTTACGGTGTTTGGAGTTGGAGCTGCTCTTGCTGCTGCCGCTGCTGGGTACAGAGGCGGAGGACTGGCTGAGCGTCCGCTTGCGGCCCTGGTGCTCTGATTTGGGCGTCCGCTGCAGCGTAATCGAAGGAGAGGGCGCAGACTCCTTTTCTTTGTCCTGAGCACGCTTAGACGAGCTACAGAAAACATTAGGGGTTTAACATGATTATCGAACGGCTCGGTAGGATGAAAAACAATTATTCACACTGCTCCAAAGACTCTGAACTGCGCTGATGTGAGAGGTCAATTGTCTGCTATTCACTTTAATGCAGGCTTTCACACTTTAAGACATTATTTTTCCATATGCATTACATTAACATGTATTTTTGTGCATTAACCACAATGTAGCACAATGTGATACATTTGAACAGTTTTGGAGAATGAAAAGCCAGTGTATTAAAAAATAAACATTTAAAAAAATATATATTTTTGATATTGTCAATTTGCAGGTTATTTATGGTTTACCACAATCTGCAGATACATGTGATCCGATATATTAAAGTAAAAGAGGAGCGATGTTACAAATTGATACATTTTTGCAACAAAGATTTTTTTAAATGTGTCCCTTGGCAATCAAAAGAGGCTTTTTTGCACCAATGGGATATACATTGTTAAAATATGACGTGCATTCACTAAAACATTTTTGCTGTTTAAAGGTAAAGATCTTGCGGTTGCTTACTCAAAAGTATATGAAAATTGTTGTGATTTTAAATAAAAAAAAAATAATGCATTGCAATGCATTTACAGAAAGTTCACCAACATTAATATTTGCTTTTCAGTTATAACATTTGAGGGATTAAAGCAGAATGAACTCACTCTTTACTGTTCGATTTGTGTGACGACTTTTCATCCTGTTTGGACTTCTTACCGTCTGGTTTGAGACCATCGTCATCATTCTGTGGAAGAAACACGATAGTTATTAAAAAAGGTACACAATTGTTCAAAAGTTTGGGGTCAGTAAGATTTTTAATTGGTACATTTATTCAGCAAGGCCACATAAATACATTTATTATATAAATACAGAATATTTCTATTTGAAATAAATGCTGTATTTTTCTATTCATCAAAGGATCTTTACTAAAAATGTATCACTTTTTCCATAACAATATGAAGCAGCACAACTGTTTTCAACATTAATAATATTCAGAAATGTTTACGGAGCAGCAAATCGACATATTAGAAAGATTTCTGAAGGATCCTGTGACACTGAAGACTGGAGTAATGATGCTGAAAATACAGCTGCACATCACAAGAACCAATTACAATTACATTTGACAAACAGTTAAACTGCAATAAAAGCTCACAAAAGCCAATGTAGCCTTAATGAGCATAAGAGACTTCTTAAAAAAAAAAAAAAAAAGGTTAATGACCCCAAACTGTATGTTTACAATTAAACCAAGGATACAACCAACATGGTTCAGAGCATATTGGGTGTTCAGAAGGCAGGCTTTAAAGAGACGGGAAGTAAAACAGCGTTTCAGGCAGAGGGTGAAAAGTGATGATGCAGCAGCATATAGTACGAGACAAATAAATCACTGAAATATATGACCCTGGAGCACAAAACCAGTCTTAAGTAGCACGGGGATATTTGTAGCAATAGTCAACAATACATTGTATGGGTCAAAATTACCAATTTTTCTTTTATGCATAACAATATGAAGCAGCACAACTGTTTTCAACATTAATAATATTCAGAAATGTTTACGGAGCAGCAAATCGACATATTAGAAAGATTTCTGAAGGATCCTGTGACACTGAAGACTGGAGTAATGATGCTGAAAATACAGCTGCACATCACAAGAACCAATTACAATTACATTTGACAAACAGTTAAACTGCAATAAAAGCTCACAAAAGCCAATGTAGCCTTAATGAGCATAAGAGACTTCTTAAAAAAAAAAAAAAAAAAGGTTAATGACCCCAAACTGTATGTTTACAATTAAACCAAGGATACAACCAACATGGTTCAGAGCATATTGGGTGTTCAGAAGGCAGGCTTTAAAGAGACGGGAAGTAAAACAGCGTTTCAGGCAGAGGGTGAAAAGTGATGATGCAGCAGCATATAGTACGAGACAAATAAATCACTGAAATATATGACCCTGGAGCACAAAACCAGTCTTAAGTAGCACGGGGATATTTGTAGCAATAGTCAACAATACATTGTATGGGACAAAATTACCAATTTTTCTTTTATGCTAAAAATCCTTAGGATATTAAGTAAAGATCATGTCCCATGAAGATATTTTGTAAATTTTCTACCATAAATATATCAAAACAAATTTTTGATTAGTAATATGCATTGCTAAGAACTTAATTTGGACAACTTTAAAGGCAATATTAAAAAATTTTTGGACCCTCAGATTTTCAAATAGTTGTATCTCGGCCAAATCTTTTCCTATCCTAACAAACCATACATCAATGGAAAACTTATTTATTCAGCTTTCAGATGATATATAAATCTCAATTTCAAAAAAATGACCCTTATGACTGGTTTTGTGGTCCAGGGTCACACATATTCTAGCAAATCCCCCAAAAAAATCCCCACAGAAGATCTGCCACCAACCTTGTGTTTTCTCTTCCCCTTGCTGGCTCCCTTTTCTCCCGGCTGTTTCTGCAAGTCTTTTCCTTCAGCAGGGGAGCCCCTCTCCGCTTTCACCTCGGTTTCCTTGTAGACTCGACCAGGCACTCTGGACAGCAGACTGAGGTCGATCTGCACCAGCAGTCTGGGCGGCAGCCTCCCTTCTTGATCGCTCAGCGGGGAAAGCATAGGCGAGAACAGGACAGACGGGTTCTCAGCATACTGCTCTCTCGGCGTCTGTGAAGACGAGGGGACGCTTTCGTTGCCCTCCGAGTCCGACGATGACGAATCGGATTCTATGAACTCACGCGACTTGCTGGCCGGTTTCTTGCGTTTGTCTTGCGCCGGGCGAGGGGAGGAGGTTTTGGGCTCCTTCTTGATGTTGGGCTTGCGGAGGCCCTTGTTGGGAGCACGGACTCTGTGCGACGGGATCTCGGGCGAGGGTTCGGTCTCCACCTTGAGCCCACCCTTTGGCTCCTCCACCACAGGTGGCTTGTCTGGCTTTTTAGGCTGCTTCTTGCCCACCTCCAGTCGCCGCCCCTTCTGACTTCCCCCCTCGCTCTGAGCGGGAGACCTCTGACTTCGCCTGTCTTGCCCCTTCTGGTTTGGCCGAAGGTCTCGCCCGGCAGAGGGCGCCGCGTCTTTTGAACCTGAGCCACTGTAGACCCTGCTGGAGTTTTCTCCTCGCCCCTCTTTCTTATGCTTTGTTGGCGTCGTGCTGCTATTCTCCACCGGAGAAGCAGGGGACGACTTGTTGACTTTCTTGAACCAGTTGTCCAGCTGCCATTTGTTAGCCGTGGGCTGTTCCCGCTGTGATGATGTCAAACAGGGAAACATGCATTGAGTGTGACATCAAACTCAGTTCAGCATAAAACCTAAACATAAAACTTTATATAGTGTGCGAATACCAAATTGAGCTCTCTGACAATTCTACACAAAATTGTTAAAATTAGTGCTGTCAATCGATCAAAAAAAAATAATCGCACATTTTCATGTAATAAATCACGATATTGTCATAATTTCACACTGAATCTCCAAATGAATGTAGAAACAACAAAGATGGTATATTTTAAATGAGTTTAATGGCATCTTTTTTAATTATAGCCATTCAACATTACAGTATAATTGAAAGGCATTATTTTTAACATTTAATAGGCTTTGAAAATATAACATTTATTTTTAAGTTAACCTAAAACAATCTTCACATAAACCATCAATTCTATATGTATACTATACTATAAATTGAATATAGATTACTCTTTATTCAAGCTACAAATGTTAATCAGCGAACAGAGCAGTGACTGATTCTCTTTTCTTGTGTTCTTTGATTTCCATCAATGACAGACTGCAGCAGGTTTCACTTTAAAAGCAGCGCTGTCTCTTTAAAACCTGATGCACGTGACGTGGATCTGACACACATCTGGTTTTCTCTCTTTATCCTTTACGGCCATTTAGGACTTTTTAACTCATTTAAAACAAGGTTTATGAGGTCACTTGCCAAAAATGGGTATTTTGACATAATTTTGTCCGTGCAGTGCTGCATTAATTGCAATTAAATATTTAACGTGTTAAACCGAAAAAAGATAATCGCACAATTAACATGTTAATTTTGACAGCCCTAGTTAAAATATACTCATAAAAACACAATTAGTTTTGTCTTAAGTGAATGTAATCAGTTGAGAAAGAAGACGCATGTGTATCAGGTTACTGGATCTGTGCATTTGGTCTTAAAGTGACAGCAGCCTCTACCTGCTGCAATCTGCGTCATTACCGATAATCAAAGAACAAAACGAAAGACAATCCCTCACAGATCTTGATTGAATACATTTTTTTGTAACTTTAATAAGGATTAATTTACATTTTATTTATTTAAAAAAACCTAGTGTTATTTTAAATTTGATTTAAATTTCTGTACTGCATTATTTGTGCTATTATTAAATTGTTTATCGGTTATTATTTTATTAAGGACTGTCTACTTGTCTTTAATCATGTTTAAAATCGATATTAGTTAGTCTAGCTGTTTTTGCTGTGGTACTTCTATTAAAACCATAAGCAAAAGTTACTTTTGGCTGTTTATTTTTTATTTTATTTTGTAGGCTGCGGTTCACGGTATTTAGCTGCAACAATGTTTTGCAAAAAAACTGAATAAATATGTTTGATATCTAAATGTTTGACTTCTTTTTAACCTTTTTTTAATCAAAACTGGGAATCGGTAAACGAAAAGCAGAAATGGAATCACAAAACCGATACCCAACCCTACATATTGTGTCATAATCCTTGATCAGCAGTAAATCAGCTTTCACGTGATGAGTTGATCTACATGTGCGTGTGAAGGCTGTGTTTGTGCAGGAGATTCACCTCGGGTGATGCAGGACGAGGTGGCTCGTTGTTCTCACTGTCTGTAGAGCTGCTCTCGCTCTCGCTGTCAGAACCGGAGCTGCTCTCCGAACCGCTGTGACTGCTGGTGTCCACTTGTTCAGGAGCCTCGCTGTTATTACCGTTGTTACTGGGGTAGGCATACAACTTTATTACCGTCTTGTTGGCTGCGTGTTTCCTCATGCATTCACTTCAACTTAGCAACGGCACAAATCCAAGTGAGGTGATGTCAATACACTCCTTGAGCAAGTTTATTCAACAAAACCCCCATAATGAGCAATGTGCATCTCTTTACCCGTCATTTACAAGATTCACCTAGGGCCGTTTGCACCAGCTGTGCGCAAGTTACAACTTAGCCTAGTTTTGACATAAAGGGACACTATGTTACAACATACACTCTACTAAATGTTTCTGCATTGCACTATTGAACTTAACAGAAATGCAACTATGTATAAACTAAATATTTACTAAAGCCCATAAAATAGCAGATTGACTTAATTGCATCAATATGCTCATGTTTTAGTTCTTCTTAGACATATGATGATGATGATGACATCCATTTACATAAACTACATTAAAGGCATAGCTAAATGTGACATTATAATGGGTTTATGTGAAGATAATTTTATAGTAAGTTTAAAACAATGTTATATATTTTTTAAAGTTCTGTAACAATTAAGGCCTATTAAAATGATTGCACAACTTCAATGTTCTTACTTCATAGTGCAAGATCCTGAAATAACACACTACAGAGTTTAATGTTTCAAAACACTGATGATACCAACGATCAAGTGTGATGATTCATTTAGACAGCAGCAAATATAACTGGATTAAATTCTTTCACGTAGGTATAATACCATAGCGCATTTCAGATTGCTCCTAAATCCCAACATTTCAAATTGTGGTTAGCTGCGGCCCCTTCCTATATAAGCAGGCAGTTCTTGGCCAGAACAAAATGCATTATGGTCCAGAAAGTAGACCAGACAAAATTAGGACTACCTTAAATGAAGGCTAAACTAATTGTGCATGTTGAAATGTTTCATTGTCACCTTAAGGCATGGAATCAAAAAGAAAAAGTACACAATTTCACTGAATATTAGTTGGGGTTTGAGTGATGATAAACTTGAGTGTGTCACCTTGTCGAGGGGTTTTTGGCAGGATCTTGCTCTCCGTCACTGTCTTCGCTGCTGCTGAGCTTCAGATCTTCATGCAGTGTGCTGAAATGAGAGCAAGACAAGAGGAGATCAGTAAAGCACGGGACACACCTAGCCGACTGCAAAGAACTAACGGCAGTGTTTGTTATAATGATGAACTGACTTTAACTGAAAATTGAGTGTTTTGCATTATTACACACTATTTTTCCTATTTAATACTGTAAAGCTGCTTTGACACAATCTGTATTGTTAAAAGCACTATATAAATAGAGGTGACTTGACTTGTTGGCTGTGTCTGGACCATACAGCTGACTGCAAACTAGCATGCGTTTCTGCATGTCTATATCATATATATGTGACCCTGGAGCACAAAACCAGTCTTAAGTCGCTGGGGTATATTTGTAGCAATAGCCAACAATACATTGTATGTGTCAAAATCATAGATTTTTCTTTTATGCCAAAAATCATTAGGATATTAAGTAAAGATCATGTTCCATGAAGATATTTTGTAAATGTCCTACCATAAATATTAAAACTTAAATTTTGATTGGTAATATGCATTGCTAAGAACTTCATTTGGACAACTTTAAAGGCGATTTTCACAATATTTCGATTTTTTTGCACCCTCAGATTCCAGATTTTCAAATAGTCGTATCTCGACCAAATATTGTCCGATCCTAACAAACCATACATCAATGGAAATATTATTTATTCAGCTTTTGGATGATGTATGAATCACAATTTCGAAAAATTTACCCTTATGACTGGTTTTGTGGTCCAGGGTCTCTCTCTCTCTCTCTCACACACACACACACACACACACACACACACAGACTTGAACTCTATTCATTTACTAACTGCTTTTTTTTCTTTAAAAAAAGAAATAAAAAAAACTAGCTTTAATCTTTTTGCATTCTATTTATTTACTTTTTATTTATTATACAATTAACAAAAGCAAAAAAGGCCTCTAAGACTAGCTTGCTCTATTCTTTTTCTATTCTATCCATTTTCTTTTTATTTATTATATAATAATTAAAAAAAAAACCTTGCTACGTGTACTGCGTTAATCTAACTGAGACTTGTTATAGCACTTGCATATCATTGCTCTTTTGTTGATTTTGATTGCTTCTGTTGTCCTCATTTGTAAGTCTCTTTGGATAAAATCGTCTGCTAAATGACTGAATGTAAATGTAAATATCAGCAGCCATTAATAGTCGATCCTGAATATCAGTTATATCAATTACTTTCTTAATTTTAAGCAGCTCATGTTGTTATGAAAATATTCGACATGCATATGCAAAATGAATCTCGGATTGACCTACAGTCTAATGCTTGACTGAACTCTTCAAATAGATCAAATAGTTCAAACAGAAAAAGCTGCAGGTAGATGTAAGTATATCAGTGGCTCACTTGGACTGCTCGTTGTCGGAGGGCTTAGATGGCTGACTGGTGGATGCGCTCTTTCCTGAGAGTTTTTCTAAGAGGGGAAAACAATCATCAACACACACAAATGAGCGAAAAGCCATTATAGTTTGATAAAATGATTTCTAAAACTTACTTTGGGCCCCAAAAGACAGGTGCTGGGCATCCTACAACAAAGAAGGCAACAATGACTTATTACACATACATCACAAAAACGTTTCACTGGTTTAAAATGCTATGCTAACAATAGATATAGAAGTTCAAAATGAATCTGGACACTTTCGAAAACTAGATCATCATGTTTGCTGAACGAACTAATGCAATTGAAGAGGATGTAAGTATATCAGTGGCTCACTTGGACTGCTCGTTGTCGGAGGGCTTAGATGGCTGACTGGTGGATGCGCTCTTTCCTGAGAGTTTTTCTAAGAGGGGAAAACAATCATCAACACACACAAATGAGCGAAAAGCCATTATAGTTTGATAAAATGATTTCTAAAACTTACTTTGGGCCCCAAAAGACAGGTGCTGGGCATCCTACAACAAAGAAGGCAACAATGACTTATTACACATACATCACAAAAACGTTTCACTGGTTTAAACTGCTATGCTAACAATAGATATAGAAGTTCAAAATGAATCTGGACACTTTCGAAAACTAGATCATCATTTGTTTGCTGAACGAACGAATGCAATTGAAGAGCAGTTCACGGGTCTAAATACGTTTTTGTGTGTTTTTAGTATTTATGCATGTAGGTATTATTTTCATTATTGCTGTCTGAACAACTCATTGTTTCTATAATGTCCTGCAAACATGATAAAAATGGACAAGTGTGCGGCAGGTGTCCTGCTGCTCTGTGGCCCTTTCAAGTCTGACCTTGGAGGTGGAGAAAGGAAACTTTGACAGCTCTGTCTTGCAGGGCGTGTGAATGGCTGTTAGTGGAGGAGGCCAGACCTGAGTCATTTCCTGGTGGAGAAAGAAAAAACCCCCCCAATCAACAGATCTTAGAAACCAGAGATAAAGCTAGTATGTGAATTGCTTTGACAACTCAATGAAGGCCTGTTTTACACTGCATTTCCATGCGTTTCATGTCTTCCCTCTGAAGCTTTACAGTCGAATTGCATTTATATCTTCATTCAAATGCATCTCCAGTGACGGAGACACTTACATATTACATGAGAGGCAGCAATAACCAAAAGATTTCCATATTAGCAAATTCTTTAAATACTGACATTACTTCCAAGTGCTTTCTGCCATTTCTTACAGCTCTATTCTTTGGGTATCCCTTGTGAACAATGTTACTAAGGATTAGAAGTGAACAAAATGTCAGAGAAGTGCCTCTCTCCCTGTTGAAAAAACCAGCTCTGTGGCCCTTTCAAGTCTGACCTTGGAGGTGGAGAAAGGAAACTTTGACAGCTCTGTCTTGCAGGGCGTGTGAATGGCTGTTAGTGGAGGAGGCCAGACCTGAGTCATTTCCTGGTGGAGAAAGAAAAAAACCCCCCAATCAACAGATCTTAGAAACCAGAGATAAAGCTAGTATGTGAATTGCTTTGACAACTCAATGAAGGCCTGTTTTACACTGCATTTCCATGCGTTTCATGTCTTCCCTTTGAAGCTTTACAGTCGAATTGCATTTATATCTTCATTCAAATGCATCTCCAGTGACGGAGACACTTACATATTACATGAGAGGCAGCGTTAACCAAAAGATTTCCATATTAGCAAATTCTTTAAATACTGACATTACTTCCAAGTGCTTTCTGCCATTTCTTACAGCTCTATTCTTTGGGTATCCCTTGTGAACAATGTTACTAAGGATTAGAAGTGAAGAAAATGTCAGAGAAGTGCCTCTCTCCCTGTTGAAAAAACCAGCATATGCTGGTCCTTTGCTGGTTTATGCTGGTCCTTTTGCTGGTTTATGCTGGTCTATGCTGGTCCTTTTGCTGGTCTATGCTGGTCCTTTTGCTGGTTTATGCTGGTCCTTTTGCTGGTTTATGCTGGTCCTTTAGCTGGTTTATGCTGGTCCTTTTGCTGGTTTATGCTGGTCCTTTAGCTGGTTTATGCTGGTCCTTTTGCTGGTTTATGCTGGTCCTTTGCCAGCACATGACCAGCATAAACCAGCATCAAAACATACCTAACCAGCATATGCTGGTTTTTTCAACAGGGCTTTGAGAGAAACTAAAGCCTGCTTTGTCAAGTTTAAGAGAGATTTTTAAAATAAACTTGAATTCTAAAGGTTTTCCTCAGATAAAATTGGAAAAACCCAAGACTATTTCAGACCCCATCATCAGACTAATAATAAAAAAAACACATTAAACAAAACCATTAGCATGTTTTACCATGTTGGTAAGCATTGCTACAATACTGTAAAAAGTTGCAAGGCATTATTAACACGTTTTTAACATTTAGCTAAGTGTTGCTAGCATGTACACATGGCATTGTTAACCTTTTTAACATATCATTAACATTTAACAGTGCTAAGTGTTGCTAGCATGTCGTCAGCATATTTTAACATGTTGCTAGGCATCTTTAACATGTCCCATGTTCTTAGCATTTAACACTTAGCATGTCGCTAGGCATTGTTAACATGTTTATAACATTTAGCTAAGTGTTGCTAGCATGGCATTGTTAGCATGTTTTAAAATGTTGTTAGTATTTAACATGTTGGCAGGCATTGTTAACGTTTTAAAATTAAAGTGTTGCTAACATGTTCGCTAAGCTCTGTTAGTCTGCTGTCAGCATATTTTAACATGTTAACATTAAGCAAAGTGTTGCTAGCATGCTTCTAGGCATTGTTAACCTTTTTAACATGCCGTTAACATTTAACACAGTGCTAAGTGTTGCTAGCATGTCATCAACATATTTTAACATGTTGCTAGGCATCTTTAACATGTAGTATGTCCTTAGCATTTAACACTGTTAGCATGTTACTAGGCATTGTTAACATGTTAGCATATTTAACATTGCTAAGTGTTGCCAACATGCTTGCTAGTCTGTTGTCAGCATATTTTAACATTGTTAGGAATTGTTTACATTTAGCTAAGTGTTGCTAGCATTTTGTTTGTTAGGAATTTATTAGTTTAGTGTTGTTGTTAGTGTTGTTAACATGATGTTAGGCATTGTTAGCATATTTAACATGTTCCTAAGCATTGGTAACATGTTTTAACTTAAAGTGCCCCATTATGGATTTTTGAAAATGACCTTTCATGCAGTGTGTAACACATGAAGTTTTAAATCTGAAAGTGCACCGTGTATAAAGTTATTGTCTCTCAAAAGAAAGAGTCGACTCTGAATCACTTAAACGAGTCGTTTTTAAAAACGAATCCCAAGCCATTTCATGGATTCATTGTTTTATTATACGGATAATTACTCCATATTATAAGACAATAAAAGTGTTTTTTGACCTCGCATGCATGTCAACTTGTTGTTGGGGACTCCCAAAACCAAAATATGAACCTTTTATAACCCATAATAGGGGCACTTTAACATTAAGTGTTAAACATTTAATGTTTTGCTAGCAAGTGTGAATAAAGTAAACTTTTCTTTCACTATTGACAGCACATAAAATGGTTTTTACCTTTAATATTTCATCAACACAGCTCGCATCTGCTCCCACTGAAACCTGCAAGAATGAACAAAAGCATGCAGATCTTTGCTTATCATCAATCAAATATACAGGGTTGTTTGTGAGCACAGGTATAACAAGTAGAGGTTGACCGATGTATCGGTTTTGCAGATTAATCGGCACCGATAGTTTTTTGCTGGAACTATCGGTTATCGGCAAAAATCCATGCCGATAGTTTTCCCGGGTTGCGTCCATTGCTGGAGCGGCTGAGAAGGGTCTGCTGTCATTACACAGCGCGAGAGCGGCCTCTAGTGGTTAAAATCACTGACAGCACGTGCTATTTGTTTAGACACGTGATAATGCACACTGAACAGAGCGGGAAACTTCAGACGCGGATTTAAATGCAGCCGACAGAAAATCCTGCCGCGCCACAGAGCGCCATTCACATAGTTTTCCTTTAAATTACATTATATTTGTCCCGAATTGTTGTTAATGCTTCATTTATAGAGCTATAATATAGATCGCGCTTTCTCTCTCCGTTTGCTCCGTTTTTTAAACACTGAACTTCAAACTCATCCATGCCTCATTGTTCGTTCATTCTTGAAGTAAACTTGTGTCCGTTTGGTGATTAAATAAACTGTTTTAGACTGCTGCTCGAATTGAACGCGACGCGTCCGGAGTGTGTGTGATATCGGTGAGTTCTCCTAGACTCAGCGCTGTGCTTTTATTTTGATAAGATAATCATCAAGTGTTCAAGAATAGAAGACGTTAAAGTGTGAGAGTATACATACAATATTCCATTTATCATTTTATTGCTATGGTTGTGTATATATTTAAAGATGTGCATCTTTAAGCATGACTGTTGAAATGAAATGGTAACACTTTAAAATAAGAGTCCATTTGTAACATTAAGATTAATGAAAGCGGTGTAATGAAAGTATTGTTCCTTGTTAGAGTGAGTTAATTTCAACATTTTTATTACTATTACTACTACTAGTATGGTTCAAGTACTGTTTTTTTAATATAGCATTATTTTAGTTTTTGTTCAGTATCCATTTTAAAAACTATCAGTTAATTAATCGGTATCGGCCAGTGTGGTCCAACCTAGCTATCGGTATCGGCAAAATCCACTATCGGTCGACCTCAAACAACAAGTATAACTTAATTTGTTGTCAAACCCTCAGTAGAGCTATTATACATGCAGCTTGCCAATGTTCTTGTAAAGGGGTCATAACATATTATCATTATTACAGTAATAGGTCCTTATTATTTTCTTAAAGGTTCATGCTAAATGGTGGAACAAAGCCAGAAAAGTCTTGCCCTGTTTTATGCTGACTAGCTAAAACGTTACAATAAATCTCAAAGAAAATGGTCTATTTTGATGGTTTCATAAATCAGAACAAATGTTTGTACTCTGCTTTGTAATGTCACAGTGTCTGGTTGTGGTGCCCTGGACTGGCCACTT